GAAGCCACTTTGAAGATACCTAAGTATAGTACAACAACTATTGATAATCTCCTCTTTTGTCTGTAACTCACTATTATTTGTCTATTTGTTTTCCTGAGAAACTATCCTACAGACAACAATATGTAAAACAATAACCTTTGATAATTTCCTACTACTTTGTCTGTAATTTGTTAAGCCCCCCCCATTATTATGTTATCCTTCTTTTGCTCTTTAAAAAAAAAAAAAAAAAAAAAAGCCAAAGAAATGTGTGACTACAAGCAGTTTCCTGAGCTCATCTTAGTGCTCCCTGTGTGCCTTGTGGATTTGTTCAGTGTCTGTGTTTCAATGTCACTGTCCTTGTTTTCTCAGTGTAGTCTGGCCTTGCCACTAACTCTGGCAGTCTGTTTGGAGGACCACACTCGGAGCCTTTCCCAGGGTGAATCCTGACTCTCATGTCTTGCTTGGAGAAATTATATTTAGCGACCCTTTCCTCCTAGGCCTCCCAGCCTGCTGCCCCAACTAAGTAGTGATCTTCAAAATGAACGTTTGGCCTCTGAGAAATAACGCACATCCTCTGTCCCTTCAGGAAGGATTTGTCCGCGTTGACCGAGATTATGTGCTGAAGTCCGCAGAGCTGGCAAAAAGTGGAGGTTGCAAACACTTCAACTTGGTGTCCTCTGGAGGAGCCGACACATCAAGCAAATTTTTGTGTTTACAAGTTAAGGTTTGTGCACATTTCTATCTTTAATATGCTTTGGGCTAATTGGCAGTATTAAATAATAAAAATTCTACTTAGTATTTAAGAACCATCAAGTGCATTTAACTATGCATTTTTCATAGCTCCAGGGACTATATTTGCAGGAATATATTCAGGAAGTAGGTGTGATTTGAAAGATAATTTTCAATGTCTTCCCTCCTTTCAGTGTGTGCATGTTGGGGGTCGTGGGTACTAGGGAATTGAATCCAGGGCCCTGTGCATGCTAGGGAAGTGCTCCACCATGGAGCTACATCCCCAGCCATTTTTACTTTTTTGAGACAGGGTGTTCCTAGTTGCCCAGGCTGCCCTTGAACTTGAGATCTTCTACCTCAGCCTCCCAAGTAGTTGGGATTATAGGCATACACCACCGCACCCAACTTCTTCCCTGCTGTAAATTATCTGAGAATCAGTGCAGTGAGTTGTGCCAGTTCTGGCCTTGAACATCGATGTGGCATTTTTGACTTGGAAGAGACTTGGAAGCTGCGATCCCTAGGGTACACTTTCTCCTCAGTTTCTCTAATGGCTGAGGGAGAGGAGCTTGTGCTCTTCGGAGATTTAGGGACATTTAGCCTGAAGCAGTGTGCTAATTATAAACCCAAACTTTTCATAAATGTTTTTTTTTTTTTTTTTATTTTGTAAAAACTTCCTTCATATTTACACACATTTTATGTTTTATTTTCTCATTATGATACAGATCCTTGTTTATTTTAATAAAAAAAGTTAAGTTTCCATTTTCTAACTTTGAAGTAAAATTTGTGCTGCAGGAAGATGGGCCATGGCTTAAACATGGCCACAGTTTAAGAAGCATGGTGTAGCGGTTATGTGGCCAAACACCGTTTATATTGTGAACTTCTTTTACAGAAGTTCACCTGGCTTCTGCTGAAATACCTGCAGGAGGAGGGAGTTGGCTGTGTTGTGAGCCAACTACTTGTCTAAAGCCCTCACTCTGAGCTGAAACCAGTTGCTTTATAAATGCCAACAGTTAGCATTTCTGCATTTTAAAAGCAAAAATATGTGCAGTCCTACTCTTGCATGTATAGTTGTTAAAATATCTGATTGTAGTTTCCTTAACTGTACCTTTTTCCAGATATAACACCTATAAGTGCTTGCACTCTACTGCTTTTTATTTCAAGCCTCTTCTTCACCCTGAAGCTGTACTAGAATTACACTGGCCTGCTTTTCACTCTAAACACAATGCTGTTTTTCTAAAATGAGATATAAGATTGCTAGTATTCTGGTAAACATCTCTATCATTGTTTTTGCTCATGATCACCTTGTGGTAATGTACATTCCCAGATCTTTTTCCATATGGTTTATAGCTAGATTGTATCACTTCTATCCTAAAATATTTGAAGGCACGTGAAGATCAGGGAGCCATAGTGAAGTGAAGTCAAGAATGATAGTTTTAACTTTCTAGACTTTCTTTAGAACAATCCTTAAAGGAAAAAAAATTTTTTTCAAGATACACATGTGGTTTCTGAAAAACATTATTAAATAGCATATTTTATTCTCATTGGCAAGGTCAATACCTTTTAGGAATGAAAATATTCTGTGTATTTCCCAATCTTTAAAGATAAAGGGGCCAGGGCATGATGGCACATGCCTGTAATCCCAGCACTTGGTAGGCTGAAGCAGGAGGATCATTATGAGTTTGAGGACAGCCTGGGCTACAGAGTGAGCTCAAGGCCAGCCTGAACTGCATAGAGACCCTGTCTCAAAAAGACAAACAAACAAGCAAATAAATAAAGATAAAGGAACTACTGCTACCAACTGATAGGGTTATAATAATGGCTCAATGAAATAAAAATAGCAACACTAATTGTGCTGAGTAGTATTCTAAGGGCTCTTATGTGCATTTGTATGGAAACATAATATTAAGATCACTGGCAAGTAAATGGCGAGGCTGGAACTTGAACCTCTGATTTGAGGGCCTGTGATGCTAAGCACTGTGTAACGAGTATCTTTTGTCACTAACACATGGGAAGGACCCAGCATAATGCTGGAGCTGTGGCAGAGCATCAGCAAATAGTTAAAGCAACAAAATGGAAAAAGAGTTTTTCCTTCAGAGAAGTTGACTGGTATTACCTACAGCATGGCCTTATGAGTGAGATTAGTTAAAAGGACAGAAATGACAACCACACTGTCCATCCAGAGTGGTCCTGAACAATACAGTTGCAGCTAGAATTTGGAAATACGATCTATCCTGAATAACCTTTCTTTTACTTACTTTTCTCTCACTGGCGAGACAAACTACCCAACACTGAAAGTCAAAGGAGGAAAGGTTTATGTAGCTCACGGTTTGTAGAGGTTTCAATGCATAATTTGCTGGTTCCAAGGTGGCAAGGACCATTCTTGGTGGCTGAAGATACCAAAATCAACAAGAGCAAGAGGGGAGAAGGAAGCCCCTTTTCCCCTCTTATACTGTATGCAGGCCACCTGCTCTAGAGCTGGTGTAGCACTCACACTCCCAATCCCAGCACTAGAATAAACCAATCACAAACTCCAGATTCAGCCGCCTCCAAAAAGCCCACTCCCCATGCCCACATGAGGCTTGGGGGTACTCCAGACACGAACCATAACCTTTCAACTACTGTAACATTTCTCATGTTTATTCTTCATGTCTTCAGCCTTCTCCTGTGTAGCTGCCCCTCTCACCTAGTTAGAGAAACTCCTTTATTCTCTAAGAGCACTTACTATCCTTGAGAACTAGTTCAACTGCAATGCACTGGGAGGCCTTATCAGTTACACACCTTCATGGGCACTCGCTGGTGCTGTGGGGAAAACTGTTGGGGTGTGGAGCCCACACCACATTTCACCTCTGGGGATGAACCTTGACCTTAAGCAATTCTTAATTTGCTTGTCTTGGGGAATTGCCCAAGGACACCTGAAGTTTTCGTATTCGCCAGGAAGTCTCACAGGCTGCAGCAGGTAGTGCTACTTGCCGCTATGAGAAATTACAATGAAAGGAAATCAGCAAAGGGAAAAGATGCAGAGGGCCAAGGCCAGAGGGAAGCTGGAGGAGGTTTCCAGGAGGCCTCTCCCAGCCAGCTGCACAGGCTGCTCTGAATTTCCCCAGCCTGCGTGCCGTGTCCCAGTGAAGTTCACCCGAGCCCAGCGTTGCAGGGTTTTCATGGGAGTTTGTCACACAGGCACAACTAGGCTCATCAAATTTGCAGATCGTCAGAGGAAACACAGGTGTTCAGACTAGACCGCACTGTTTTTATAAATGCCTTAGGGGCAGTGGATGACCTCAGTCACGTAGGGAATGGCAGGAACACTCCTGAAATCCAGCTTCCCAGGAGCAAGCCAAGGGCCAGCCCTGCAAGCTCACTTTCCTAAGGTTAGCAATCACAGGCCCGCTCTGTTTACTTTTTTTATTAGCATGCATATGCTGATAAAAACAAAACATATCTTTGTGTTAAAAACAAAGAAACAAATGTTTACATAAGCACTCGTGTATGAATGTTCATAGTAGCACTATTCAGCATAGCTAGCATGAAACAACCAAGATGTCCTCAACTGTTGAATGGATGGATAAACTGTGGCAAACCAATACAATGGAATATTACTCACCTGTACAAGGAATATTTGTGGCTCATTGAAGCTTAAGCAAGGATTTCCTTGCAATGAGTAGAACGCCCCTTCAGTCCCTTGTCACAAGTTTAAAAACCTCACAGCTTGTATAATGTAACCATTGGGGTCCACTTTCACTTGGACTAGTGTAACTCCTCCATGCAATAAACTGAAAAGAGCCAAAAAAAGGGAATATCATTCCAGTTGCTTCGGCAGCACCTATACTAAAAGGAATGTCCAGAGTAGGCAAAATTACAGAGACAGAAAGTAGACTCATAGTAGGGTAGAGCGTGGGGAGAGGAGATAGGGCATGACTGCGAATGTTATGGGATTTCTTAGATTTCAAACAGGTTTTAAGACTTGGATTGTGATAAAGGTTGCATTGTGTACATGTCAAAAACTACCAGTTAAATAAATGAAAAAGATGTTTTAAATAGCTAAGGTTATATGATATGGCAGGTCCAGTGTGAACTGACTGGTATGGACAGGTACCAAAGGAGGAGAGCCTCGTGGGAATGAATGTTAATTTACACGCGGTCCCTGCGGCCAGAGAGCCTCTGGCATTTCACTTGAGATTTGCCTGTGTGGAAATGAGTGGTTTGCTTAACAAATTCAAAGCATCACCTATATGTTATCTTGTCTTTTGAAATTTAGTGCAAGGAGTTGTGAAATGAGTAATGTAGGAGTCCTCTGTGGGTTTTCTCCCCTGCTGGAACTACATGTAAACCCTCTCAACCCCCAAAAAAACTTAACATCTGCTAACTTGCAGTGCTGATTTTGGATTAAAGTGAAAATGCTCTAGTGGTTAAAACGGAGTATCATTTACCTCTCTGGATTTGGTTTAATGTCAGTAAAATGAGAAATGATCAGGCTGCCATTAATTCAGCAGATGGCTTTTAACTCTTATACATGTCAGGATTAAATGCTCTCTTAGTTAATGCCCTGTGCTCTTTGGAATCTCAAGTTCTAGGTAAGGATGTTTATGAGTCTTGAGACCTGCAGAAGCATAGTATCTTCAAAACTCTCAGTTTTTCTCTCTTAAATTTTACTTAACTGCGTTGATCAGTTTTGACTGCTGAAAATGCTTTTTGTTTTAACAGGGAGAAACAGAAGCCAGGGTTGAAGAATTAAAATTTGATCGTTACTCAGTATTTAGGCCTGGGTAAGTATTTGTGCTGCCTGACCCTACAGCACAGTTGGTTCTACTCTAGAAGCCAGTCTGTCACCTGGAGGAGCTACCCCTGAAGAGGTCCAGGATAGGAAAGAAGACAGCTAGAGGGTGTCAGGCCTCTCTTCCTGGCTGGCAGCTCCCAGCTTTCTTGCTTTGTCCCCTTATGGCTTTCTGCTGCGTGTGTATGGGCAGATATCTCTTTCCTCTTCCTATAAGGATACCAGACCTACTGGTTTAGTCTTGTCCCATCCTTAAGACCTTGTTTAACCCTGCTTTTCTCCCTAACGGCCATGTCCAAATACAATCACATTGTGCCTTAGGATTTCAACATACACATCTCAAGGGGACACAGTTCAGTGTAATACCCACTATGCTCTGATGCTACTTACTAAATCTTCCTCTGCTTTTCTTTTTCTCCCTAGACTTCTGTTATGTGACAGGCAAGAATCTCGCCCAGGTGAATGGTTGGCCAGGAAATTCTTCGGCTCCTTACCAGACTCCTGGGCCAGTGGCCTCTCAGTGCCAGTGGGGACTGTGGCGAGAGCCATGCTGAACAACATGGTGAGACCCGGCAGCAAGCAGATGGAAGTGCTGGGAAACAAGGCCATACACGCCCTGGGGAAAGCCGACAGCTCGCTCAAGCCATGACCAAGCTGGAGAAATGCTTTTCCCTGCAAATCTCGACACTTACCAATCTATAATTTCAGGGTCTAAGAAAATATTTGTATACTTTACCTTTGTTCTTTCACTGTTCTTATCCCCAAGGATCTGTGCTCTGTCGCATGGGTTTAGAGCATCGTTATAACATAGGTCACTCAGGGAGCTTTGGGAAAGTGGAGATTTGTTGCCACTTTCCCATACCCTCTGGTCAGAATTTTGGGGTTGTGGGCATGGGAATCTATACTTCTCTTGTTTAAAATTCCCTTCATTGGGAACCAGTGTGGAAAGGGTCGTTTGCAGTTTCACAGTGGCAGTGTAAACATTATGTACCGTGTGGATGAGTGCTGTTCTAAAGTTGCTCACATCACAGCCCTTTGAGTTACACAAATGCTCATTAATGCTCTGTACGTGGGTAGGTGAACATGATGCCTTTACTGCTTCTTTAGAATGTACTACAGGGCTGGGGATTTAGCTCAGCGGCAAAGCGCTTGCCTGGCAAGCGCAAGGTCGTGAGTTCGGTTCCTGGTACCGGAGAAAAACCAAAAAAAAAA